TGGGCAATATATGGCTTAAAGAGCTTGCTGCATGGTACTGGAGAGGTCTGTCCTTATCTGAAATAAGCCAGTTTAAAATCGGTGACCCAGAATGGGAAGTGAATTAGCTGGGAACACTTGCAAAGCTGTAGCCCTGCCTAGTGAGTCACAGAGGAGGCAAAGCTGAAGTACGACTTGAAAGGAGCAGGGAATTGTGACTCTGAGCATGACGCACTCATTTGCCTTTCCATTCGGATTTCTTTTCATTCAGGCCGAGAGTCTCAGTCTCTGACCCCCGCCCTCTGTCGCTCCCTGTCGATTTACAGCTAACCCCGCCAGACGTCACTTTGAACTGGTGGCTTTGTCGCTAATACTGCTGCAGCCACCCCAGAGTTTCCATGTCTCATTCTTTCGCCCCACCGGCAAAAGTATCAAGAAAGGGTCTCTTTCTCCACACCCCCACCCTCCACCTCCCCACTGCTGCTCTGCATTTTTGGTGCAAATGGCTGAGAGTGGAGAAGGAGAAACATTTCAGAAGCTCCAAATGAATCTGCCTCTTCCTGGAGCCGTGCTTTGGGCAAGCGGCACTTGCAAGAGACCTTCCTTCTCCCATCCCAGCACCAGTCTATTTAACACAGTGAACAGATGCTTTTGTTCCCAGTGAGTTTCTCCCAGTAAGCAGCAATGAAATGGCACTGGGGACTAAGCAATGACATCGGATACCTCTCTTCTCAAAGGCTTCCCAATTCAGTCACATGCTTCAGGGTGTCAGTATTCAGTGTGGGGTCTGGAAGGGACTTGGCCTTGCATACGCTCTTGCACTGTGGACTTCATTCATTCTAGGACAACAGGCACCTTCTGACAAAGCAACCACTAATCACTTTAGCCAGACTGAGAGTTGATGCAGCCAGTAGCTTTAGCAGTACTAACCTTTTGCCCAATTCTAAGACTGTGGTTTCCTCAAAGCTCAGAGAATCATCTTGCCCCTATCTCTGAGGCGTGATAGGCAGCACTCTGCTATTGGAGAGGCTCCTTCCAACAGGTCTTTGGTTTCCTTTGTACTTCATTGAAACTCGGCTCTCCACTTGCTCTACATCTTATTAGCATACATACATATGTAAATGTTTGAATTCACCTCCCAGAGGAAGAAATCAGTATGACTACAGTATAGTGATTCAGGTTTCAGCTGTTAATAAAACCTATTTTTACTCTCCTGATAAGTAGGACAGGAGGAAGGAAAGAGGCAGAGCTGAAATACAGCAAAACAAAAACACTAGCTGCTAGAGACTTCTAGGCCTTCTCCCTTCAAAATCCCCTCTATCGACAACTGTGAGCATGTTTTCACTTTGATCTCTTTTTCTGTACCCTTTGCTTCATTCTCCCTGTCATTTAGATTTTGGTTCCCTCCAGTGCTATTGCCCACAGGAAAAATAGCTGGTGGCTCTGTTGGGTCTCAAAGTAGCTCTACTAAACAATCTTGCCAGAACACATCAGCTCAGGGTGAAGTCATTGTCTTGACAGTTACTTCCTTGATAAAAGCAGTCCCCCAAGGAAAGAAAATCAAATGAGCCAGCTAGCACAGGGTTTTGTGTGCCATGCACAACATTGAAAGAGCCATCTCAAAGGCAGGCATAATTATTGACCAGCATCCAGGAGGGTTGGACCTGCTGGCTTCCTGCCTTGATGGCCCAGTAGCCAGAATGCTCTTGCATTTCATTATAGTGATGATGACTAAGCTCAATGGTTTGAATGGGTCTGACTGACAAATCTGGCCTGCCCTGATCCCACTCATTAAAGCCCACTTCTTCCCCCTAGGCTTCTGGCACTGCTACGCCTCACACAGAAAAACCAGGTGATGAACATCAACCTCCACCTGGAATAGTAACTTTTCAAGCATTCAGGGTGGTTTGTAGGGCATGGTCTGTCCATTCGGATTGCAAGATCTGAGGCACAGAGAGTTGTATTTCCTGTGTGGCACTGTCAGTGTTTTGAAATAAATCTTCTAGGTCTCAGGAGCTACTTCATTACAAAGGTTCTGGCCAGCTCTTGGTGGCCATATTCTTATTCTTATTGCAGAGCAAGAGGCTGATTTCAAGCCTAAGAGCTCCAAGCCAATAGAGGCCAACATATATCACAGAATGTCTTTGCATCCTGGACTCCAGTACAATAGGCTTTGAGCAGACTTCCTACTGTACAAGAGATCTGAATGTTCACAGGACGTGCGAGTTTCCCGGGCCCTTCTGAGATCTCGAAGCCGGTATCTTTCCCACGTCCCTCTCTAGATTAATCACAAACTGAAATGCCAGGCTCACAAATGCTGGGTTTTCCCCATCCACAAAAATCCCAAATCCTCCATCAGCCTCTGCAGAGGCGTTCTTTCCCAGAATGCACTAGCAACTTGGGGGCACCCTCTTTAGTAAACTTTCCTGAAAAGCCAGAACTCATCCTAGGTCCCCCGGAGGGGCAGGTGTTCAGAAATGCAGTCTGAACGCAGAGCACTGCCACTTAGTCACAGAGCGGGTACTTCTTGCCGCACGGTGTTGTTGGCTTCACTGCCCATCCATGAAACCCCACATCTGGTGTTGTTTCTCCAAGGACCATCTTCAGAGTACTTACAGGCAGGAAGAACTGCCAGGACTGAGCACTTAAAATTCTGAGCTGTTGTAGCTGACTGTTTCTGCTGCTTCTAATCCAGCTGTCCACCGTGAACCCGGGAAAAATAGGAGACTGGGAAATAATTCACTGGGGAATGAAAGGGAATGCATAAAGGCAAAATTTCATGCCTTCTCAGTTTGAAAATGGCTGCACAGGTCTTGCTTACTCTGGATCTCTTGCTGTCTTTTTAAAGCAAACCTCACATGGGGTAGGGGAGTTGAGAATCTTTCCAGGGAGTTCAAATTTAAATTTGAATCTAATCCCTTTCATGCTGCTTCATAACTTTTATTTCCAAATCGTGTTTGCTAATTGCAAAGCAGGGTTTTAAACAAGGGTTCACTGCTGCTTTGAATACTAATTGGTCTATCCCAATGAGAATGAGACATTCTAGTGGATACTTCCACCAGAACATCACATTGTTGTGGAAGTGATAGCATGCAGATGGTTCAGGTTTGCAACAGCCTCGTTCGAACCCTTCAGCTCACCCCTCCTGACCCCAGTCAACTGGCTATTGTGATGGATTTGAACTGGAAGCTATTTCTGATGTCTGCACACGCCACCAACTAACTAAACATTTGCATTGCACCTAGCACTGTCTGAAGCAGGCAGTGCAAATAGGCCAAGAACCAAATAGGGAATGAAGACAAACTCTCAAGCCTTCCCTGCCAGATTTTGAGGCAGGGTGCAGCGTGCAGTGAAGCTTGTGTTGCTAGTGCCCTCCACCGAGTAGATTCAAAGGATATCCGTCTCTGACCCCTACAGCAGCGCCTCTGGACCCTGAAATTAAAATCATTTAATTGGAGAAGAAATCTTACAATCTCAGGCAGTGGCTTGATGGTTTCATTAACACCCAGCCCATGGTACAAAAGCAGGGTTTGAATCAGGAACCCAGCTGCACTTCACCAGTATTTGCTTCAAACCTCTCTGTCATTTTCTGCATGGGGGTGGGGGGTGAGCAACCCTCCTAGAGCAAGCCAACAACATGCTTTGATGCAACAGCCTCAGAGGCGCTGGGGACAGCCTGCCACTCTGCACGCCAGATACGAAGCCACACAACAGCACAGTTCACACGGGGTGGGAGGAAGCAACTGGATGGCCAGTGTTAATCCCCCGGCACCCACATCATTCCATTAGCAGGGGCCCATAACTGGGGGAACGGGCGCTTGCCAGAGATGGCAGAGTGTGTCTGAGGCACCTGCGTGTGAGCGTGCAGAAGCTGTTACAGGCGTGTGGAATTTTGAGTGTCGGTGGAAGCAGAACGACACTGGATTCTTCTACCGCAGCCTTGGGCGTGCAGGGGCCTGGGGGGACGTCTCGGAAACTCTGTTCTTAATGCCAGCACCCAACGCCAGCAGCTGTTCTGGAGTGCCTCTGTCACAAGATGTAAAAGGCCACCTGTCTGACTCCTGTGATATAGACACGATGCAAGACAATTGGCCTCTTAATCTGATTAGGAATGGCCTCCAGTGCCAAGTTTCTTCCCTGGGCAGATGCCAAACTTATAGCAGCTCCATGGGCAAGGGATTACATGGTACTCAATTCCACCGAGACAAGGGTGGGGTGGAAAGGTAAAGCATGAAGAGGCTTTGCTGCAATCCTTCAGGGAATTGCCTGCTGGAGGGCAATTTGGGGATAAAGACCTGTCGTTCTTAAACTCTTCTGCTGTGAATTCTTTTTTCCTCCTGTGCTGTTTTGAAGCTCAAACGCTGAGTGGAGGTGTCTGATTGTCAGCCCTAGCTGTAGGATTCCCTCCCCTCCCTGCAGAAGAGGTATAGCCCAGACAGCTGCAGGGCAAGCTTCTCTTACACGGCTCTCTGCCAAGGTGCATCAGCCCTGCTGCTGAAGAACTACCTGCACATAAGTGGTGGGGCCATGGTTCATTTTCTGTGTCGCTTCTGACCAGACTCAAGAGGGGTGATCTCGAGATGGAAGGCTCCAGCCCCTATTTCCAGCCATGCTGTTATGGATATTTGTCCCACGGTTAGGTTTATCTCGCAGCGTGCGTCTCTTGCTTTGCCAGACATAGCTTTCTGGAGCAAGGAGGGTAGGTCATCAGAGCTTCCCCTTAGTTGAAAGGCAACCAGTAGTGTGGATGCCCTTTTTTTATTCACATTGGCTCTCGTAGCTGTTCCATTATCTCCTACAGCTGAACAGTGGAGACAAGAAGCCAAGATGCTGGCATCTCCACAGTGTTGCTCGTTCAAAAACCTACAAGGGCAGAAACCAGACCAAGAGGCTGTCCATAAACAAAAAAACCACGTAGCTTTGATATGATGCGGGTGGAAAATCTCAAACTGCCAGGAGCTTCCTGTGGTGCTGTAGAAAGAGGAACCAGACTGACGTTCTGCACCTTGGACTCTTTACAGTTGGTTTCGTAAGAAACACGCTCAGGCAGAGGCTCTGGTCCCCATCCCTCCCAGCCCAGAGACAAAGGACAGGTGGAGGAGTATGACGGTGGTGCCTTATCTGGAAGATCTGCATGGCTACAATGAGGAAGAAGATGATGACTTGTACGACATTGAAGATGATATCATCTACACTCAGGACTTCACTGTACCAGGTAAGAGACAGGGGTGGTGGAATTGAAGGCCAGAGTAACTGCTTGTTATGTAGAGAGGGCCTGAGGTTTGACAGACTAAATCTCTCGGAAGATGAGAGAAGCCTGTTGATTATGAAGTGGGTGCGAGTGACGCGCGGTCTTTTGAGTGAGTCTTGGAGCTCTAGATGGCTTGTTTTTCTCTCTCTCAAATAGGACACCCCTTCCTGTGCATTACCTACACACCATTTTCCTTTGATGCATCTGCCAATAGTTTCTTCCTACTGGATTCTTTTGCTCAGCATGCTTAATTCCACAGCCAGTTTTTCTAGACAATATCTGGGTTATGTGGAAGCACAGCCTTACGTGACTGTGCTCATAGCAGAGGGCACACTGGGGGATAGGAGGGAGCATTCAGGGACCCGCACTTCATTTTCAGTGTTGTTAGGCTCATTCTCCTGCCCTGATCTTTGACTCTCTAGCTACAGGATTGCCTTTCAAATGGACAGAGGGGGACTCCTAAATGTTAACCACAAAGAAACAAACAGCTTGACATTTTTCAGAGCTAGGGAGTGGATGTAACTGTGCAACCCCTGTTAATCAAAGGGGATTGCATGTGGCTGATACCTTTAGTGAGCTCTGGAAATCTCGGTCTCTCTGTGCATTTAAATCCTGAAACGTAGGAGGGTAAGTGGAGGGTGGGCACCTGTGCAAAGCTTTGTCGCTATCAGGATAATGTCAGTGGCAGGTGGCAGCACTGCTCTTTCTCCCTGTCCCTACTCGGGTTATTTCATATGCTTGAGATTGTAAGCTCCTGTTCCATAAGCTGCTTTGACAGTTACTCCCATGTTTTTAGTTTCCCCCACTCCTGTACAGATGGCTTGACAATCATTTTTTTTTTAAGTAGGGGGGAATTTGCTACTGTTTGTAGAGGAGCTGATTTTTATTCCTTACCGTAAGGCAACCCTAAGCGTCTGGGCATGAGTCATCTCTGCTACCAGGGAGAGCTCCAGCTCCGTGGGTGTTGGATTACCCAGACTGGACCACATTCTGTCCTGACAGGCAGCCGGACAGTTGCTTCAGTGGGTGTGAGCAAAAACTCACGCCTTCTGGCTCCTTCTGTGCAACGAGCTGTCTCTAGACCACCTCTGCTTTGTCTGGCTCTTGACTCCCTGATTATACATGATTACACATGGTCAGGAAACAGTAGGGGAGCCCGGAGGCCATGAAGCAAACACGGACAGCTTTTGGCCTTGAGTATCCTATGTAAGAAAACCTTGGGGTGGAGCCCCAGCATAATGGAGCCATTCCCTTGTTTTGCTGATGTCTCGACATGCAAGCAAAATGCACTAAGCCAGCAGAGTCTTTGCCCCGTGTTGCGTGACATCTCTGTTAAGTCCCCAAGTAGGCATCCATTTGGGCGTACAGGAAGGTGGGTCACTGACTGAGGCAGGACTGGCAGGCCCAGATAAAGGGAGTTTAATTAGCAAAAGGAACAATTCTGTTGCCAATTCAATGGTGACATTTGGGCTGTTCATAATAACTGTTGTTTCCATCGAGAATCGATGTCCCTGTGGCAGCTGGGCATCCTGCAGAGAGATGGCCCTTGGGAAGCCCGAACCAGGCATGCTCTTTCTCTCTGCTCTTGTACTCTCTAACTGTCTGACCAATGCCTGTAGTCTGGATGGCTGTTCATTTGGCCAGAAGCTGCTCACATTCCCCAGCGGAGGTTCCTTGGGTTCCATTTTTAAACTCATTCAATTCTGAAAAGAAATGCCAACTCTCTAGAGAGCTTCTAAAGACAGCAGCAGCAGTTGGGAGAGAAGAGAACTTGCCAAAGTTATTTTCTGCGTCGGCTGGGAGCAGAGGCCTGGTTGAAGCCCACAGTGTATGAACGCAGACTGCTGGCAGCCAGGTTTGAAATTCCTTACTATTTAACTCACTCCTGTATCCTCTTTTTGAGATCAACATCAAGAAGCAAAGTCTGATAGCCATGCTCACCTGCAGCTGCCCTTGGGTGCGGAACTGGAGGCCAAAGACTAACCTACTTCCACTCAGATCCCTGTTGATGGCACCATGTATTGAGGAGGTGCTACGGGCAGAATTTTATCCACAATAGAGCTGTTAGATGTAGTGCTCCTGATTTTTCTCCTGCAGCTGACTCCAAGGATGCATGGGATGGCCTCTTTGTGTCTGTCTCTCTAATCATGCTCTATCGCTTTCCTGTGCATTCCTAGGTGCAGAGGAAGAAGCTGAGGCAGGGCTTAGAGAGGACAAAGCAGAGCAGCTGAGCGATCTCACCGAGTTATTTGGAGAGGAAGCCGAGTTGCCAGCAGCCAGGATCCTAGAAGAGGAATGTGAAGGGTAGTCTAGCTTCCAGAGATACTGCAGAGAGACCCTAGACGCCCTTCCTGCTGCTTGAACAAGTGGCATTGGGTTAGGAATGGAGAATCTTCTCCAGACTTTGGTGGGAACTTTCCCATTGCCATGATGGCAGCACTACTTCAAAAATAGATAGATGTGTTCTGCAAGAGGGTCTGCTGTATTGCTTTAGCAAAAATTAGCCATGGCAAAGCCAGTGTGGAACTGATCTGAGGGGAAGAAAGCCAGCACTAAGTGGGTGGGACTGTCACATGCGATAACCAACCAGCCTTGTCTCTTTTCAGTTAGCTCTCTCAGTAGATAGCAGCAATGAAACTTCCATTGTTAATTTTAAAGGTGATTTTACTAAAGAAACTGTCTTAAAGAAGTATCTGTGGAGTTGAGCACTGAGATGGTTACCTGTCCCTCGGGCCAGCCTGTTCTACTTGCCTTGCCCCCCACCCCCACATTGTTTGATTTGGGTTTTCTTTGTCTGGCTTTGCTTTCCTTGTCTATGTGTATCTCTGGGTTATGAAGGTGAAGAGCTGTGCAGGAGTGCAGCTCCTGAGCCAATCATTCATTAACGCGCGCTTTGGGATGCTCTGGGCCTGGTGGTTCACGGTAGGGTCAGGTGGATGACTGCAGCCCAGCATCTGTGTGCAGATGGTGATGCTGAGCTGCGTAGCAGGTATGCAAGAGCTCTGTCCGGTTCAGATGAGGGTAAGCACTGTTTTGTGCAGCCAGCAGAGCTCAGCCCCAAACACCCATGCGCAGGGTGTCTGAGGAGAGGTACTCCTGTTCAATGTGATTTTTGAGCTCCCTTCCTGGGTTTCTTACCTGCTGTTAGTAGAAGGAACTTGGGGCCCGTGCTACAGCAACCTATTAATGCAGCGTCTGTGCCTCACACTCTGCCCTTTCCCCTATGCTTTACAGAGTCACCTGCACCAGGCAGGATTGAGCCCTCAGCAACACCATTATTTACCTGCTCGTGGGGCAGCTCTTGCCTCCAGTGTGGGCAGGTGCCACGTGACAGAGGGAGGCTGTAGCTGGAGCAGCAGTCTCCGTTCTTCCATACTCCTGCAAACAGCAGCGTTTCCACCCAAACGGGACCTGTCAGTCAGCGAGCTGGCGTGCAAATTACTGAAAGATGTTCAGTGTTCTCCCGCCTGCTTTGTGCAGCTTCAAAGAGACATGAAACTCTGCTTAATAGCAGCCCCCCAGAGCAGCGGTGGGTGGGTGGGTGAGTGGGTGTGCACGCCATTCCACGTGTTGTCTTGTGTTTTAAGACTTGAGTGGTGATATTAAGTAACTGAAAGGTTCTGAAGAGTAATTGCACAGCCTCGCTCAGATCGCTAGCACAAAAAAGCTTTGTCCAGACCACCGCAAAGGTCCCACTGCTGTGTTGTCCCCCGACTGCTCAGCTGTCATTGCGAGCTGGATGCTCTGAGCCACCTGCTGCCCTCCATTATGCTGACCGGAATCGAGGATGGAGTTGGGTCCTTCCTTATTATTAGCGTAGCATGAACCCTGAAGTCGGGCAGATTGAGCTGTGGCTCGACTCATCCTGTGCATGTGACCTGCTAAGGAGAGAGAGCACAGTACATCCGCGCTGCCAGAAGCCGGTTTGATCAGTTTGGGTATTGACTAACGAGAACTGATCTGTTTGCCTTGGGTCACTGCTGTCCAGTTTATTATCCAGTGGCTTTTGGTCTGATGCTGATGAAAACTGAGATCCTTTTAAAACGGGGAAGTCCATTTACCCAGGCAGCATAATGGAAGCATTGAATTTGTCTAGAGTGAAGCTGCCTGGATAGGCAAGCTGCTGAAAAGGGGTGGATATTTGCAGCCTGTAGAATGCCATTGCAGGGAGTAAAATCTGAAAGCAAATTTGTTGAGGGAACAGGAAGAAGGATGAGGGTCTGGTACGATCTGAGTTCTGGGGTTGCACGGAGTTTGCAGAATTAAGGGGCAGCTTGCAAAGAGCATGCATGCCTCTTCCCTTCGCAGCTTTCTGGCGGGACCCTCCAGGCTCGCTCCGAGATTCCATTCAAATAAAAACCCGTGAGGACGACTGATCAGTTTAGATGCGGTCCCGCCGGGCAGCGGGAGAGCTCGTGAATCACTGGCAGGGTGGGCGTTCCACTGAGGAGGGGGAGGGGACCTCATTAAATCGAACATCCTTCAGAGGAGGGAAGGGGCTTTTCAGAGGGTGCTTTTATTTCTAAATGGTTATTGAAAGATCTGTGCCATTCTGCGGAAAGCCTGAAACCTCCCGCGCCCTTGGTTCGATCTGTGCTAAATGGCTCTTCAGAGGCACACGCTGAAGAGAGGACATTAGGATGTCAGGCCACATCGAAAGGCATCCTTTCTGGAGGGGGCCGCGGTCTTCTGCTCCCGTGGTGGTGGCGGCGGGTGGGTGTGCATGTCTGTGTGATATAACCGAGATGAAGCACTTTTGCTTGTGGCCTTCATCCTGAAATGTCTATTTAAAAATGTTGCCAACTTGCTCTCCGCATCATTAACTGTCTTGTTGATCGGGACCCCAGTTTGGGCTCCTATAGAGAGACCAAGCTGAGGTAGTCCCATCACCCCCACCCTATCCCACCCTCCACATTCAGGACGGAGCTAGAATCGGCATCCAAGACTTGAATCTAAAAATAAGAGTGTGAGCATTTGGAAAGATGTGTTTCCATCCTCT